AAAACACATCTGAAATGGAAAAATAGACTGGGTATCATTTCAAGGTTATTTTTTCGACTTGCAAATGCTACAAACGTTTTTTTGGGGAAAAAAACCCAAACTTCCAGGGCTGCGGGTCAGCCGGGCAGTATCTGCAGGGAGCAGCCGCCCAGACCGGCCCTTTCTCAGGGCCTCACATCTTGAGCCATTCTCTCCAAAGCCTCCTTTCACAGCGGTAAGTTAGGTCTGTCCCCAGCCATGCATTTCAACATCTGCTTAACTTTGTACACAGCTGCAGCCACCAATTCAGATGTTTCACCAGTGCTACCCACATCCCTGCTCATTTGCTTTTCTGCTCAGAAGTCTCCAATTTCTCAAACCTTTTTTTTTTTTTTTGGCCTCCTGGTTCAACCACCTTCTCTTAAAAAGATGGCACACGCTGCACAGGGCATCTGCTGAATTTCAACAAGCTCCTGCAAAAGAAACCCTATGGAAAACACCAGGAGTTTTCATGTCAAGTCTAACTTTATAACACACGGGCGTTATAAAAAAAGCACAGTAGTGCTTGAACCTTCCTTGGCCAAGTGCCCCCAAATTGAGGATCATGGTGGAGACTGAAGAGCTCCTCCAGCTGGCGCAGGCTCTCTGCTGCAGTGAGGAGGGCTGGCTGCGTGCAGACCTGGACTGGCCGCTCCTTGCGGGACATGATCTAACCCAGTGCCGCGGGTGAAACCCAGCTCTGTGCCAAAAACCCACACAAAGCCACCGCCTCGGCACGGGGTAGGAGGGCAGCGCACTACAGTGGGGCGAGACTGCACCACGGGCCATGAATTTCACTCGCAAATTAAAAGACCAAATCCAGAGATGAGGCTACGCGTACCTGCCCGTAGATACTGGTGACAGACGAGTAATGGACAGAACACACCATGAGCATGTATTTGTAAAGAGAGAAAAAAAAAGCAGGGCAAATTGCCTTTGTTTCACTATTATGAAGGAATGTTTTACTGTTTTTTTTTCCTTGTATCCTTCTACAGTTGCTCACCTTTGGCACAAGGAATTCTATGTATCACAAGATTTAATTAATAATAATACTTCATATCAACACTCAGCACTTACATAGCGCTTCTCATATTCAAAGTGCTTTACAAAAGTTTGTGAGTCCTCACAACACCCCTGTGAGGTAGGTAAGTATTATTATCCCCATTTTACAGATGGGGAAACTGAGGCAGAGAGGTAAAGTGACTTGTCCAAGTCTTTATAGGGAGTGGAAACTCATGACGTAGTGGCCCTGTTCTGGTCTCCCTTACGGTGATGTAACACACACAAGCTCCCACAGAGCTATGCTGGTGTAAGCAAAACAATCCAACCCAAGTTTCTCTGGCTCCCAATCCTCCACTCCGATCAACGGACCATACCTGCTCCACCTAAACCAACGGTTCACCTTCCAAAACACCACAGAAAGTCCAGAGCGCAGCAGGAGCGATCGTAAGGCAACATTTACATTAACAGCTCCATAGCTCTGCAGCAGGTTGGACTACACACAGACGTGCTTCTGCCATGCCGCAAGAGTCTAAAGACAACTCAAGTGGTCTCCAGCTCTGCACCTGTCAGCTTTGAGGCTGATTCTCTTCTCCCTCAAGTTAGAATAAATCTAGAGCAAACAACGAGGCTGCCCCAGCGGAGAACTCGTATGAGATCCGAACCAGACCTTTTACCTGCTGCTTTGCAGGCACACGCCCCCACTAACACCTTTTCATTCTGGACAGCTTCGGCATGGTTCATTTCACTCCCTCTCTCCGAGTTTGTATCTCTGCATAAAAACAAACTTTCAACATTTCCAACTCATCAGCACCAGCATTGAAACAGCACCATACATCTTTCTAAGACCGATCAATATTTCCAGAAAAGTGTCCATGCATGCAAATATCACATACAAAAACATCAAGAGTGCTGGGAGATGATACCAAGCATAGAGGTGATCACAAGACAGCACACATTTAGTTTTTATTAAAAATACCAAACAACTCACTCTTACTGTAACTATGCCACTTAGATGATCGCTCTAACCTGCACAAGTACAGGTACTTTTCCTCCAACTATTCACCTACCTACCTAGAAAGAAAGAGAAATAGCAAGCGCACACATTTATACTTCCTCAAACTTGGCAGGCATGATTCGTGTGAATGGGAAGGGAAGGTCTGGGGAGGTGAGTGAGATCGTACACTGGGTTTAGGGCAGTGGAGTTTGAAAGAAGTAGAAGGTATCACATGCATCATTACCATCAGTAATCAATCTGATGAAAATAAACCCCCAAATTAGATGGATTCATGTATGACATCCACTGAAAATCTCAAACCCTAAGCACACTGAAGCTGGCAAACATCTTGTGCCACTTCACCTATGTCCAGCAAATAAGATCAAACCTTCAAAAGAAAGTAAAAGGAAGAATAAACCAGCCTGGAGACAACAATCTTCCACAAACCACTTCCCTGCATTATTTTCAAATACAGTTTACTCTTCAGCAGTTTCAGAAAGGAGTGGGGGAGAAAGAGACCCACTACTACTTTTTTTTCAAACTGGCTCAGCACCAGCAGCAGCTCAGAGAGAGGGAGAGAAAAATAATTCTTCAGATGTGATCCTTGGTACTTGATTAAAACGTTGCTTGCCAGCCGACGAAACCCTAAATTGCCAGAGGGTTCGAAGTGGAGTGGATACACGGTGCTGCTCACGCTCCTCTTCATTTGCTATGATATCTGCTCCGTGGGCCTCATCTGTATATCTGCAATCTAGGAGAGACCAACATAGGATTTTACTGGAGCACAGGAGTCCATTTTAAATCCTGCACTGGGCACGTCTGTGCTGCACAATTGCAGGGGCAAGCTCCACATGAAGAAAGATCCTGTGACTAGAAATGAGCCTGCTTAACTGAGATATTAGAAAGAAATAAAGGTGAATGTGACTGCTTTGCCTTTAGCAGAAGGGATAAAAGCACAAAGCTGTGCAGAAAAGAGTGCAAGCTGACACTGATTACAAACTCTCATGGTTCAAGTCTTTAGCCTGGTCCTGCTCACCGAGGGTCAAGCAGAAGCACTGCTCGATCAGCCACGGACAGGACTTTTTATCCTCTTAAGACAAGGCAGCCAGCTATCACTACTGATCCGGTGTCAAGACAGCCACGTCTTGCTCCAAAGGAGCAGAGTTCACACGAGGGGCTGCTAAACCTCTCGTGATCAAAGTCTGCTTTTGCAACAGGAGCTTTTATGTTACATATACTAGACTTTGACACTGCTCCTGCCTCCTCCTGGCTCCAGCTCAAAGCTGGTCACTTATTTCTCATTTCACAAGAGGGAAGTCCCTCTGGCGGCACAAGCACCCTTGGGGAGGTGCACAGCACTTGGCAGGATCAGGCCCAACACGTCATTTGGCAGCTGGTAGGATCCGACCCTGCTGCAAGGCTGTCAGCAA